GCTTGGCTCCATAGTCAACAGTCTTGGCACCAGCAGCCAGGAAATTAAAAGGCGCATTGCCATGGGAAAGTCTGCTGTTAGGGACCTCTCCAATGTGCTGACATCATTACTCCTCAATAATTTGGAAAGGTCCCTAATTGCAGATTTTTCCAGTGCAATGTGTCTTCTTATTCCATGACTGCTTGTCTCAAGGGTGTTAATTGTGGATCCAAGTAATCTGAAGCTGTTGACTGTTTCAATCTCTTCTCCATCCATCATGACACTGCCTATTGCTCCAGTGGTAAGAATCTTTCTTTCTTAATATTGAGATGTAATCTATACTGAAGGCGCATTCCTTGATCTTCTGCAACAAGTGATTCAAATTTTCACTTTCAGCAAGCAAGTTTGTGTCATCTGCATAATGCAGGTTACTTATGTGTCTCCTTCTAATTCTGATGCCACACTTTTCTTCACAGATTCCACCTTCTCAGATAATTTGCTCAGCATATAGATTGAACAGGTATGGAGATAGAATACGCACTCCCTTCCCAATTCCAAACCACGCACTTCTCCCCTGCTCCATTCACACAAAATAGCCTCCTACTCCAGTTATAAGTTCCTCATGAGCAAAATCAAGTGCTCTGGGATTCCCATTCATCTCAACGTCAGCCACAACTTATCATGATCCACACAGTCGAACATCTTTGCATAGTCAATAAAGCACAAATAGACATCCTTCTGGAATTTCTTACTTTCACCCAGGATCCACCTGATATCAGCAATGATATCCCTGGTGCCATGGCCTCTTCTAAATTCCACTTAAACTTCTGGCAATTCCCTAGCTATGTATTGTTCCAGTTGTTTTTGAATGATCTTCAGCCGTAATTTGCTTTGCATTGTTTAACAACTGATTCATGCAATGTTCATAGCTTGAATGTTGGAAAACTAGATATTGTTAAAAATGAACTGGAATGCATGAATATTGACATACTGTACACTAGTGAGATACAATGGACCAATTATGGTCACTTTGAATCGAGTAATCATATCATATACTATGCCAGGAATGAAAAACAGAAGAATGGTAGTGTGTTCATAATCAAAAAGCCAATTTCAATTTCTATCCTGAAATATAATGTTGTGAGTGATAGGATAACATCCATACGCATACAAGGAAGAACCATTAATACGACTATTATTCAAATATATGCTCATACATTCAGTGACAAAGAGGAAGAAATTGAGAATTTTTACCACATTTTGAAATCTGAAATTGACCTAACATGCAAACAGGAGGCATTAATGCTAATTGGTGACTGGAATGCAAAAGTAGGAAACAATGAATAAGGAACAGTAGTTGGAAAATATGGACTTGGTGATAAAAATGAGGCTGGAAATAGAATGAATTTTGTATTTACAATGATTTATTCATTGCAAATACTTTTTCTAAAAGACCCAAAAGATGGCTTTACACATGGATTTCACCAGATAGGCTGCATAGGAATCAGATTGACTACATTTGTGGGGAAAAAAAAAGTTGGAAAAGCTCAATATCAGCAGTCAAAAAAAAAGAAACTAGGCCAGGTGCAGACTGTGGGTCAGATCGGTCAATCACTCATATGCAAGTTCAAATTGAGGCCAAAGAAAATGAAAATAAGACCACAGGAACCAAGATATGATCTTGAATCAATTCCATTGGAATTTCACGATCATCTTAAGAATAGATTTGAGATGCCTATAGGCTCACATCATTGGAAATGCCTCATAGAGCAACTGTGTGTTTTGTTTTGGGTTTTGTGTGTGTGTGTGTGTGGTTTTGTTTTACTCACAGAAATATTTATTGTATCTGTGAGAAGAAACTACAATACAGATTTTAAAAAAAAGAATATATTTGAGACATTGAACACCAATGATAGAAGACCAGATGACTTGAGGGATGATATCTAGAATATCATCCATATTTCCCAACATGGCACAGTCTGTTAACATCACAGAGCTGAACTGGCCACAACTAGAAATGCTTAAGAACCAGCTGGACCAGGAAGTGGAGTTTCTGTCCTATGTCCAATGCCCAGCTCAAGGTGGTATAGACCAAATATGTAGAAGCCAAGGATTGCTTGAATATATTGAACAACAGCAACAAGAGTAAAAAATTACTTATCCCACTGCCGAATTCTATGTGTGTCCCTGGGAAACTACATGGTGTGGAATATGTGCTTATTGATGTGGAAACTGGCTACAATATAGAGAAGACAGCTGAGGATGCGAAGGATTTCTTTAAGGGGAAGACAGACTTTCTCAGCAAGCCGCTGGAGAAAATCCAGTCTGCCGTACTAGAAAGCCATGCCACGAAACAGGCTATCATGGAGATGATGCGCCAGAAGATTCAGCAGCTCACGGCTCTGGGTGCATCTCAGGCTACTTGCTAAGGCCTAAGTTTTTGTTTTTTGTTTTTTTTTTTCGGTCTGCCATATTTTTTTTAAAGTTTCAATTAGTTACTATCATTTAAAAATCAGAATTTCACTTACGAACCCAGAATTCTGGTTTTTCTTTTGAAAAATTAAGTAATTCAGTAACACTAAGCCCACACTCCATTCTGAAGGAACCAGGTGGAGCTGAGTCTCAGGGCCCCTCCTTGTGGGATTTCTTTGTGCTCCAGTTTCTGGAATTCCAGTCCACTGACATCAGTTGCCCGGTTTCCACGCTGTGTCTCTGCCAAGGTGTCCACGTGGAGGAAACCACAGGCAGACTGATCAGAGCAGTCCTGCTTGTCCCAGCTGGCACACATTCTTCCCGCTAGCTCATGTCTCAGCACATGGAGGTGGGTGATGGATGGCAGAGTGGACAGTCCCAACGGGTCCTCATTCCAGGCTGTCCCCATCACTGTTGCTGGTGGTGGCCAGGCACCCTGTGTGTCCTGGTCTAGCTCTGCCTGCTTCAGGATCACCTGTCAGTGGATTCAGGCCACTCACATTGCATGGGAGCTGGCCTAGACCGAGACTTTGCTGGGGAGATGGTAGTTTGGCCTGCAGACACACAGGCTTGGTACTGTCCCACCCACTCAGCCAAACGTGCACCAGGGAGTGGCAGCCTGATCTCAGTCCAGCATGATGTTGAGAACTGTGCAGGGGGCTCTGCCCTCAGACAGGGCTGTCCGGGAAGCCACATGGTAGCTCAGACCTCCCTCTCGGTCCACCTTGAATTGCTTCTGTTTTTGAGCTGCAATGCGCTTCTGATCCCTCTTCCACCGGGATGGGTCGTGCAGATGGTGAAATGTCTTGTAGCCAGTTGTGATTCCTGAAGGGCAGAGAAGTTGCAGCCCAGCTCCTTTGATGCAGAACTCATCATCCTTGCGGCCCCAGCTGCAGAAGCGGTTGGTCATGCCTTTGCACACCTGAAGGTGCTGCATGGAGAGCAGCAGGATGCCGCTGACATAGGTCTTATAGTGGTACTGCGGGTGGAGCTCTGGAAAAGCTACATGGAAAGGTCCGGCCTCTGGAAAGCCATAGTCCAGCTCCTCATTGAGGGGCAGCAGGTCCACATCGTGCATCGCGATGTAGTCTGTGCTGTTGCTGCTCTCCAAGAACCCCTTAATGATGATGAGCGCTGTCCGGTTAAAACTGAAATGGTCCACCTGGTTGAGCACATAGATGTGGTGCTGGATCTTCTTCCTACTCAAGAAGTGGTGCATGGAGGGCACAAAGACTACGATCTCCTCAAAGAGCTCCTGGCAGGGCACCAGCACTGCCAGGCCATGGAGACCCCAGGACGGGTCATCTTCCCAGTGCTCAGGGGGTGGTCTTGGGACACAAGCCTGACTATCCTTATCCCCTGGCCACTCGGGCCACATCACCGGAGAGCTGAGCTGAAGCCAGAGCAGGGAGAGGAAGCCCAGCAAGAGACAAGCAACTAAGAGATGGAAGATGGAGCACTTCCGGGGCAGGTCAGTAGGGAACAACCTGGAACTTCTGTTCTCCCAGGGCAGCTGCGCTGCTTTCCACCTGGAGGGGATCATCACTGGGGAGGTGGCCATGCACGGGGCTCAGGTTGCAGCCCCGGCCAGCCGGCCCCCTCGGAGCCTATAAAGGCTTGAGCTTTTTGAGAAATGGAGCAGAGGCGCCTGCTTTTAGGAGCCTGGAACTCTATGACTTTACTTCCGGGTGGGGGGGGGGCAATAGGGTACTGGTGGTAAGACTGTGGTTCTTTTGTTGTTTTTTTTCTTTTTTAAAAAATTAATTTTAATGAAAGTTTGCAGAGACTTAAGGTATCCTGTAATTCATTGTTGCACTTTTCTCCCTACCCACCCCCTCCTCCAAATTCACTCTTCTCCTTGGAAAGAAAAACTTTTTCGTTGTTATGCAACCCCTCCCCCACCCCAAGTTCCCCCCCCCCCCACTGTGCAACCTTCACTCTGGATTTCTGTAATGACAAGAATACCGATCCATATATTCCAAAGATGGACTCGGAACATCAGCGTGAGGCACCTCTGGCTCTGGAACTGGCCTTTTCTTTTTCTTCTTTTCCTTCCACTGTTTAACAACATCCGCTGTGGTCAAGTCTTTCGACTTCTTCTCTTTATGCTTTTCTTCTTTATGTTTTTCTCCTTTGGGCTTCTCTTTGATTTTAAAATCCTTCTTTTTCTTTTTAGAAAAGCTGGGCTTCTTGAAAACATGGATTCATTCCCTTGGACCTCTTCATTTTGGAAGGACTTTCAGCTTCATCTCCGGAGCTGTCTTCCTGAAAGGCAGCATAACCTTCAGTCCTTTTTTCCTTTTTCTTAAATTTTCCCTTTTTCCCCCCATGGTCCTTCTTATCATCAGACACAACATCAGCAGGTTCATGGAGGCTGTCGTGAGGAGGTGAGGGCTCCCCGGAATCCAGGAAACTTGGTGGGGCTGATCTCTTCAGAGCTCCGGGTCCTGGTAAGACCACTGCCATGCTCCCCCCCTCCCCCGGCGGTGCTCACTGGGGCTGCTTGTGGGGGGCAGGAAGCATTCGGTCATCCTGACTCCCTGCCGAGAGGCGAGGCTATCTTCTGTTTCCTATCCATCACATCTGTACCTGCTACCACAGGACCTCAGCCTCCCAGACTTGTGGTTCTTGTGTTTAATGTCAATAAATGTACCAGCTGGGAGGGAAAGGGGGGCGAAGAATATCATCCATGAAGAAAGTAAAAGGTCATTACAAGAATGGAGATGGATTCCAGAAGAGACTCTGAAGATGCCACATTCTTCCTCATAAAACCCTGATGAAATGTAATGAAGACGAAGAAAACTTTATTTTTTGTTTTTATTTTTTTGATTATTTTTTATTTTATTGTTTTTGTGTGCATGTACCATCAAATCAGATCTGACTGGTACAGGAGGAGAATGCCCCTCCTTCCCCGGCAGAGCATCTGGTGGATTTGAACCGTGCACCTCTGGGATTGTAGTTGCACCTTCTTGCCACTAGGCCACCAGAGCTCCCCGAAGAAAACTTTAGAATCATATGGGATGATATCAAGCAGAATAACATTTCTATAATTGGAATATCAGAACAACTGAATGACAGAGAAACCACTAAGAGAATTGTGGAAGAACTACTAAAAGAAAAATTCCTGGGTATTTTGAAGAATGGAGAAATCCACAAAGCACTGAAATATTAACAGCACATTCCATTTTATATCCCTACTTTACAAGTACAACTTAAAGCAAGGATGAGCCTGCACTAAGTGTGCTTGTCTAATTCTCATGACTGTTGGTTATGTGCACGCCACGGGATGACGGCATCACTACAGACTGGGTTTCTTTTCCAAAATAGAGATTGTGAAAGCCCATAATCATGCAAAGTATTCAGAGGTTCTTACATTTATTAGCACTTTATGTACCAGTAGATATTTTATTTCACTGTATAGCTTTAACCTCCAAATACAAAGCAACCAAACTATGGCTTTGAGTCTATCCCATCGGAATTTCAGAACCATCTCAGGAACAG